TGTTATTTAAATGGTCTCTGCTATTACATCAAAACGTATATATACTTAATGGACACTGCTGTACGCCTTTGCCTCAAACTAGCTGTTGGCTAAAATTGGGATTGGAAAGTGCGGCAGTGTTTTTTTTATTATTTGGTGTGTGTGTCGTTCCCCCTCCTTGACAAACTAGCAACTCTCTGACCTTGTACAGATAATTTAAAACCAGATTTTTCAGAAGGTTCTTACACCGCAGTTTGTAACTAGAGATGCTGGTACTGAAGTCTCTGGAAATCTGTTTGCTTCATTCATGTGTCTAAAAAAACCTGAAATCTTAAAAAACAAAACACCCCCCTGCCAGCACCAAAATGTCTATGTCAAACCTCCCTGAAACTCTGGCCCTGGGCGTCTTCAGTCTGTTCTTTTTTAGGATCTGGAGTGCTTTTATATTTTTATCAAGATAGTGCAAATAGGTCCAAATATGCAGATTTAGCTATGTTTGCCATCATAGATATGCTGTTTATTTAAATTTTTGGTTGCTAAATATTGGGTACTTTGGGTGATTTTTCAACCGAACTGTTTTAATTTTTCATTTTAATTTTTTAATACTATTTCTTTTCAGCAAAGAGACCAGGTAAATGAGGTGTTAAAGAGAAGCTGTGGAACTTAGAGCAGTGGAAGTTTCTGCTCTCAAATTTATCTTAACATTGTTTCCAGCTTGCTGTGGACTATCTAGGTTATTTCATCCTATCTACACAATTGCCTTTTCAATGAACTGGGTGTTGGGGGAACGGTGAGGCAGAGGAAGAAAAGGGTGATACTTATGCTCTAGAGAATATCTATTTTCACTCTTGTCTTGTCTTCTTGTATTTCAGGTATACAAATGCTCTCAGTCCAGCCAGACACCAAGCCGAAAGGTTGTGCTGGCTGCAACCGTAAGATTAAAGACCGGTATCTTCTAAAGGCCCTGGACAAATATTGGCATGAAGACTGCCTGAAATGTGCCTGCTGTGACTGTCGCCTGGGGGAGGTGGGCTCTACCTTGTACACCAAAGCCAACCTTATCCTTTGTCGCAGAGACTATCTGAGGTAGGCTACATCCTTCTTATGTTCACTGACAAACTCGGTAAATCTGTTCCGTCCTGCCTATGTAGTCACTATTGCATAAGCGGTACTTGGGGGCTGCAAGGCTGAGTATATGTGGAGGACGAGAAAGCAGATACTGAAATATGGAGATAAAACTAAAATCTGAATCAAAAAGCACGTGTAACCAGGTCACGCAGGTGGCTTTCAGTTTTCTGATGTTAATACTGGGGTCCTGTGCTCAGAGGAGGAAGAGACTAAACCTCCCATGCTTCCCACAACACTGCGCTCCCAGGGAGCTGGCGGTCTCCTCCTCCTCTTAGCAGCACAGCGGTGGCTAGGTGTAGCAGCCTGAAACTGCACGCATGGTTTTCACCAGCTCCAGTGCAGGGTTTGAAGTCTGTGAAGAGTGCTTCACTCATCTTTGCTTATGCTCTTCCGTCCTCTTACTTTGCCAAGGGATTTCACTGGTGGCACTGGTAGCTTTTATGAATGTTGACATTTAGCTGTTAGAAGCTGGACCAAGATGGCCAACTGTCTTCCCTGTGATAAATAACCATGTAGCTAGTAGGCTCAAATCCACTGTGGTCTTGATTTAACTCGGTGACCTGGGTGGGACACTGGGTAACCTGTTGCCACGTCTCAGAGACAGCAAATCATCACCGGACTTTTCTATCTTCTTGTTTGCTTGTGGACCTACGCTCTCAAAACTATTTGAAGTATGACTCATAGCAAAGTACTGATGAGATGCACCAGGCTAGTTTATCTGTAGATTGTATGTGAATAAATAGGGCTGCTTTGCAGGAGCTGAGTTTAATTGGGAAGTTTAGTCTCCCTAGGCTCTCAATAGTAAATAGATAGAAAAGGCTCCTCTGGGGTGATTCAGAGCACCTATTTCCTATAGGAGCATCTTTCCTCCATTCCCTGTAGAGGGGGGCCTAATGAGACTAGCTGCTCCAGGCTAATATGAACTTCTGGGAATAGTTCCCCTGCCCCTGTAGTGAAGCCTTTTCCTTTTAAAGGGACAGTCAAGTCAATAATACATTGGGGAAAAATTAAAATTCTCTTTGAACGCGTTAACTTACAAGTTCAGTTTAAGCACAGGTACCAAATAGGAGGTTCCCACACACTGATCAGTTCCCAAGTTGTACAGCGTGGGTAGGTTGGAACAGGAATCAAGACTAAAGCGTTATTAACAACTGTTGGTACTCTGGCTCTCCACATTACAACCTGTTTTTTCTAGAGTGGAACAAAAACCTTTGCAAACGCGTTGTGCATTTGTTGAGCTGGGGCTGCAAGGCAGACCAGGGTTCTTCAGGCGTGAGCTTGGACTACTTATTGGTAAAAGTGCTCTCCTACCCATTAAAACTCTGATGAACACAAGATAGAGTGCTGGGAATTTAGCACAGAGTCTGTATCTTACAGTGATTGTGTTAAACCTGCCAAAGAAGTAGGTAACAAAACCTTACTTTTAAACACTGGCTGGGAACTGTTTGAATAGAAGGGAATTGTTGTACGTGAACCTAGGTCACTTGTGATCTTAAAGCTTGTGTCTATAGAGAGGGGTTGGAACAGCTTCTGGGGCAAAGGTAACACTTATCCTAATTTTTAAAACCCATTTTAAGAATCTTTCTACAACAAGTGCCTGCAGGAGTGAGAAAACTCTGCTATGGCTCTTTGATCCAAGTTCCAAATTTACCGGAGACTTTGAACTTACTGAATCTCCCAAGCGCTACTGCAGCAGATCCAATGTTTTAAAATCAAATGTTTAAAATCAAAACCAAAAGTGATCTAGTAGTAGAGATGCGAGCAAAGCATTTCCCCAGCACAGATACACAAACACACGCTGCTGCTCTCTGGTCTTTGAAGGTCTAACAGGAGTAAATATTTTGCTAACAGACTGTTAAAATTCATACTAAGTGATTCAGAGAAAGGAGACTGTATTTTTTTATCTGTCATGACCACATTCAATACTGGTGTTTCGGTGATCTGTTCATACACAGTATTTTGCACCAGTGAAACTAGCATCCATGAGAAATCCTATAATCAGTTTTAAGACGTTTCTGATTTTTGTCACCGGGTTTATCAAGTCTTAATGAAGCTATCTTGTCATGAGCCTTTTTTTAGTGATTCTTGTGAGTGCATAGATTTAAACTTGGTATTTACACTAAACTTCAAACTGATGCACTTAAGGTAATTGCAGATAGTCATTTGCCTCATTGCATCTTATCTACTTAGTTATGCAGTGAACCTATAAAAGTGATCTTTTTAATGCTAATGTAGAAACTAGTTAAATGTTCTCTAGCTTTGTAGTCAAATAAGCTTTCATATTTAGCAACGCACTTGATATGAATTTAAAGAACAAATTACTTTGTACTAATGATCAGATTAGGGTTTGATTACAATTTCAAACTGTCCGCTTTTTTTTTTTTTTACTTTTTAACCATAAAGGGAGTCTTTGCTACATATAAAACTGTTCTAGCTTCCTATTAATTTATGTGGTGCCCTCTAGAGGATATGTGGCTTGCACGATACTATAAAGAGTAAAATTGCTTATTAACTTGTCTCTCTGTGTTCATTATGTCTTTCAATAAGACAGCCATTCTACAGATGCTATAAGCAATAATGTAGCCAGTCTGGGTGTTTTAACATTCATGGTTAAATTCGCAAACTGAGTGACTGGCTATTTGCAAAGACACTTCCAGTATCTCTCATGTAGAGATGCCTGCTGAAAAACTGAACGCTCCCTCTGCCTGATGCATGTTCTTGTTCCACATATGAACCCTGAGGTACCCACTTGGGTGAGCTTTTTATAAATACTCTGTATCTTCAGAACTTCAAAACTTGCTTTGCTTTAGCTCTCTCCTTCGGTAAAATTAGTTAATTTTGCTATATTGAAAGATTTTTCTCTGGGTTGGGGGGGGGGGTTTGAGGGGATGGGAGAAATCTTTAAAGAAGTAATGAGCTTGGAAGATGCTTTGGGTGTGAGAGGCTTTACCCTGGAATCTGATTCATGTAAGTCACTCCAGTGGTTTCAGAGGTGGCATACGACACCAAGGGTATTAAGGTGGCCGCAGCAGGAAATTTTGTTAATGAGGATGAGAACTGACTTGAGTGAAGAAAGGACTCAATGTTAGCAGTAACACACTCAGTGAAAATGATATGCAGAGTATAATTCCCCTGCAGGCTTCTGTCTCCTTATACACTCTTGGGTTAGAAAGTGAAAACTTAATTTAAGGAACTTAGGTTTATGCCAACATTTCAAGTCCACTTACAGTAAGTGAAATATGTAAGAAGGTTTTGGGTTTTCCCCCCTCCTCCCTTTTTCCCTCCAGAGCTGTACGGTGACATCTTAATGTATCAGCCTCTCTTGCTCTGTCCTCTCTTCTGACTGGCAGCATGTCCATTTACAAGCACAATATTCCCCTTGAAATCTGTCATTACTGCCATTAATGACCAGTCGTTATGTTAACAGCCCTTAGGCTGTTAACATGTCAAACTGGTTGTTAACTGGAATGTTATTACTTATTTAAACTGCAGGTATGAGTTGTGTGAAATGCACTTTGGTGGTGTGTTCTAGGCTGTTTCTACTCAAAACAATAGGGAAACAGCAGAGCATTTGCCTTTGGGGTGCCAAGGGATTTGCTTTCTGTTCCATCTGCTCATTTGATTTTTGCATATTTGTGAGGTCCTCCTACCCCTGGGCAGCCTCCTAATTTCAGGTGCAACTGTGCGCAATCCTGTCTCTTAGCCTTGTTTGCCAATGGGCAGCCGTGGGTATTTCCAGATGCACAGTAATGCCTGCCGCACGTTTGAGATTAATATCTGGCCCCTAAAAGTGTAAAATGAAAGACCAACAATTACATGTAACTCAGTTGTATTAAATAATGAGCTTCCTTGGATGCAGCGAAAATATGAAAGTACAGCTGTGCTAAGCTAGTAGCAATGTAGGTCAATCACCCTTTTCACTTAGGTTTTTAACTACGCAAACCCTGCTGAGCGACCAATGACTACAAAGTGCTGTTTCATTCCTATTTAATTTTGGCAGCATTTTACTGAAGAGCAGGCATTCATGCAGCTAAATTATCTTCACCGTTTCTGGTTTTAACTCCAGCTCCATGACACTAAATGTTGGAGTGCATATCTCTTAGTAAACACAAAGAATATGGCTTCTGATTTTTTTTTTTTTCTGAATCCATCTCTTAACATGGAAATTGAATTAGAACTTTTATTACTTTTTGCATAATTTCCCTAGCCAGGCAAACAGATCATAGGAAAAGGATTAACAAAACTATATTGGGGTGGAATTTTTGCCCTTAAACACATCTAGAACCTTATTGGGGATGAGGGGATGGTGACACAAAGGTCTATCCCCCCCACTGCCCAACCCTGGTATTGATTTCACTCATAAATGTATTCCAGACTTTAAAAGTACCACTGAATAGCTATGAAGATGAGCAGATCGCTATTCCTGAAGAAAGGGGCAGATTGCATTAGGGTTTTTTTTGTTCTCCACTTGCTGGTTCAAAGACCCGAGACAAGCCAAGTTTTTAAAATACGTATATTGGATGAGATCTCATAAATAATGAGACGTGACTACAGCAAGTAAAGTGTTCAACCATAAGCATCGTAAATATGTTGCCTCTGTAAAATATTTAGCTTGTGAAAGGGCGCAGACTGAAAAGAGTAGAGTTTAGGAAGCAGGCATTTCCTGTACAACTGCTCGCACTCTAAAGACAATTATTATTTTAAAAAATTGTTACGTAGGAGTACTTAGAGAGACTTAAAATGTCTTGTGGTCTGGTACTGATTACCAGATCCTATTTCTCTCTTGTGTCATGGAAATTGCACATTAAATATTGCAAAACCTAAGATATCAGCTCTCTTAAATGCATGTACAAATACTTTATATGGATATTTTCACAGGTAGTGGGTTATAAGGTGTTTCCAAAATGACACCTCAGTATGCTTGCGCAGCTTGATTAAATAAGGGTAGATCTTTAAAG